CCTGGCTTTTAGAGACCTCTCTGTTTCCCCAATGTACGTTTCCTGGCAGGGCCCCTTGTTGTTTTTGCCCTGGCAGGAGATGTGGTAAATGACACCACACTTCTTCTCTTTGGGGGGTTTTGTCCTTGGGAGCAACAAGAATGTGTCTTAAAGTAGTGGTTGGTTTGAAACAAGTTGCAATCCCGTGGGAAATGAAAATCCTCCTGAGAGCTTCAGACAAGTCCTTTATGTATGGAAGGACTACCAACCCCTTGGACTTTGTTCTTGATGAAGGCTTGGTGTTGGTTGCCACAAGTTTTTAATGCTTGGGTCAGGTGGGACTTCTCGGTCTCTAAATCCTGTGGGTCTGACACAATGGTGTTGGCTCTGTGGAATACAGTCCTAATCACCCCTAGTTTGTGGTCAAGTGGATGGTTAGAGTCAAAGTTTAGGTATTGATCCGTGTGTGGGGGTTTCCGGTAAATCCTTATCTGTAGTGACCCATCCCCCCGTGTCACTGTATGGGTGTCAAGAAAGGGTAAAGATCTGTTCTGTTCCTCCTCAGTAGTAAACTTAATATCAGGGTCTGAACTGTTCAGAAAGTCTGTAAACTCCTGTGCATGTACTTTCTTCAACTTCGTGTGAGTGTCATCAAATCAGCTTCACTTATCCAGCTTCACTGGGTCAGTCTACTGAGGAAGACCAGAGTGACTGGTCGAAAGCTCTAGGTGAGAGGATTTTTTGTGTTGAAACAAAAGTTTTAACTTTGAACATGTAACTACCAACACAGATGAACTTTCATGATAGTAATACCATCCCTAAGTAAGACCAACAATTTCCAATTGTCGCGGGATTATGACCTAGAACATCTAGATATCTAGCCGAAAACGACAATCACAATACCTTATTCATGTGATAAAAAATACCAAGAACTACATTAGTGTAGCCTCACCTGTGCTGCAATTTTCTGCCAGAAGGACTTGTTGAACGTTTCATACAGACGGTAATCCACGGCCTTCCATTTCCGCAGGTTTGCCAGTTCCTCAGGGGTGGGGATATAGGATTTATACGAGTAAGACGCCATGTTCTTTGGTTTAATGTCATACAAGACGTCTTGTATCTCCCAGCACATCAGGCGTCTAAGGAGAACGAAAGACTCGTCTAGGTGTTCCGTCAGCATGACTAGTGTGAAGTCGTTTTCCAATTCTTCGATGTATCTTTCAGCTGCTTCCTGAAGATCATTTC